TTATATGATCCTTTCTCTGACACAGAAATTTATGTTTGTGATACATAAGATGATAGTCACATTTATCTATGCCTCTTTTTAAAGTAAATGCCAAAATTACACAGACTTAAAAGTCTGTCCTCTGGGAAAAACTGACATACAAGTACACCTTAACTTCTGTGCCAAAAAACAACCCTCTCTTTAAATGATAAATGACAAATGTTCTACCTCTGAACTGTGGATATATCAACCTCAAACCAATAAATTTTGAAAAGAAAAACACAGTGATGAGAAAAACCATAGTGGCGAAAGACATACCTAAGAATTAGCTCTCTTTAATTTGAATATAAATTCTTTGTCTTCTAACCTCTGAACTCACCCATTGCCATGTTCATCAATGGCCATAATGTCTTAACTACTAAGATTTTAGCATTTCCCAGGACTAGAGGTGAAGAAGAAAATAACTGACTTTGCATATATGAAGAAAAATTTTAGGCTTGTTTTAGGGATCCTCTGCCTGAATTTGCAGTTCCCAAAAATCTATTTTAAATAAATGATAAGCCCCCTCTCCGTTGCTTCATGGATCTTCATTTCTATGAGCCTAGAGAAGTCAATACCATTTGCAGTGTCCAAGAAGAAGTTAGAGATTGTGTATGGTGAGCACCTGAATCCTGGAAACAACTCAGCGGCACTCTGCCCCCTGGTGGACTGCTCAAGGATGAACCTTGATGAAGGGCACAGAAGGTTCACTTCCCACCCACTTACCCTGCCAACCTCTTTCCTTCTGAAACTTGCAGTGAATGTCTCAGTTAAAAGCTTTTGCCTCCACTAATTACACATTAATTTGAATCAACAATTTTTTATATATATAAAAACGCTGGGCTGCCTAATCAGCCCTCTGGAGCTAAAATAAGAACATTAGATCAACACGTTATCACTGGTTATCATGGCTTTTCATGGGTAAGAAAAAAGCAGAAAAGTGGAAAATGAAACACTGAGAAAAGATGTAGATGTGGTGAGGGTCTTTGGACTCTGGGGAAATTGCTAGACAAAGAAAAGGAAGAAGAGTTTAAAAGTGAATAAGAGGATGCTATAGGAAGTGAAATAGTTGGCAATTTCCTTTTGGCCATTAAAGCCACTGCAAACCATCTTTCGTGTGTCCTTTAGCCCTTGGGGTTATTTTTCACCAGCCTAAGTGGGTAAGTGTGAAAGACTCTTAACCTCAGTCATTTCCAGTGTAGCCAGGTTTCTTCCATTCAGGCTAGCTTCATCCTCCCCAGTTCAATCTTTCTCAAAGAGCTCTCAGTTGTTCTATGCTACAGGTGCTACAGGAGGCAAGAAAATAATGGCTAAAGAGGAAGTACATGTTCTGAGAAGCCAAAGAAGTGTCAGGTATTTTGATAGGTGCCTTACATGCGTAGGTTCCTGCAACCAATTGCAAGCAGGCTGCATTTGAGGAGAGCCACAAAGCTATCCCATGCTCTATTTGCAATTCAAACCTAGGACTTTCTGATTCCAAAAGCTGTTTTTCTGTCTACTTCTCTGGTGTTCATATAATTCAGTCTCCACCTCTTACGTTTCCCCAAGCTTGCTTATACCCCTGCATTTCAAGCACCATGCAGTACTTTGGCATCTCACTACCTACCTAGACACAACATTCCCCCTAAAAATACGGATCTGGAAAATTCTAGTGATAGTGCATCTGACTTACCCTCTTTTGCAGAATGTGAGAGCACAATCTGCCTAATTCCTTTTAAATTCTTCTACAAACAAAATCCCCCAAATTGTGGCTGTACTTGCCAGTCCGCCACAGTATCATTTATCATCAATTATTCTCTCTTGAAGGTTCAAAGTCCTCAATGTCCCCCAGAATCCAATGAACCAATCCTTCCAAAAGAATAGAATCACTACCCATTCCTTTTTTGAGCACGAAAAGGACTTTATTTCATTATTCTCTGAAATTTCATTTCCAATTACACATTTGTTGAAAGGTGGAATACCAAAGGCAATTTTTAGTTACAGCAACTCCATCAAATACACATAATCTGAGATTTTACTGCTTGCATGAATTATAGTCCTCACAGGGTTTCCTGGTTAAAGAAGATAAAACTAAGATAATAGGAAAAGTGAAGAATATTGTTCTCTAGGAAATTTGTTGAACTCAATAACATTATTCATGGGTACCATGTCCATTTTTTTAAAGGAAACTCTAAAATTGCTAGAAACACAAGACAACATTGGTATTTTTGAATGAGTATACATTCATATATTTGTGTGAATCTTTGTGCAATTAAACAATATGGCAAATGTTATTTGTTACCACAGCCAATGAAGACGTATTTTCATTTCTATACAAGTTGAACATTTCCATCTCCCATTTTATGTTCTGCAAAAAATCCATATGTCTAGTTGATGAACAAACAATGCTATAGGCAGCAGTAACTGAGAAGGAGCGTAACAGTCGTTAACTACATATCCCTGGGATGAATGATACACTTTGCATTATCATATGCGATGCTGGATGATGAGTCTAGATCTCGTATAACTACAAGGGTTTGCAAGCTTCTACTGCACACAATATGCCCCAAATTCAGTCAATTCAGCCAAATAATGAAGCAAAACTGTAAGTGGGTAATCTACAAATGGCAAACAGCCCATGTGACTAAATTGACCATGTTTTGTTAATATGAGGACACAATCATTGTAGGTTCCCTAGAAAGAACTCATTTGCAAGTTTCAATTTATTTATTTATTTCAATTAATTTTCCCCCTCAGGCTCCTAGAAGTTGGCTTAATTGTTTCTTAGGCCCAAAGAAAACACAGCTGCATAGACAAAAGACAAACATATTAATAACATAAACACAAATACTGTGCTGTATGCACATTCCAATCAATAGCAAGCTAGATTTCTCCATAGGAGAAATGTCACAAAACAAACAAACAAAAACCTGGGGGATATAACAGAAACATAGGGATTATCCAATGCCTCAAATTTTATTTTACTCCAACGGCAGGTATAAATGTTGATCAAAATTCCCCTTTTTACTTAGTTTATGTGTGAACTTTTGAATAGTGTATTTTCAAGAGTCATTACCCCAGAGTGAAGATCTGCACAGTAGGAAAGCAGTGTACTTCAGCTCAATACATCTATTGTCTGAGAGTCTGGACTGGGGAGCTTCAAGCAGGGAGGGAATCCATTTTACAAAGACAACTTGCTTCTGCAGACAAAAGGTATCACACTGCAGAAAGCTCTCTGAAGAATGGAGTGTAAATCTTCTTTGGCATACAAAATGCTCCACATACATATTTTGTTTTCTGTGCAGATGATCCTTCAGGGCTACTCCTTTTTATTTAGATAATGCATTTTTCATCTTTTGTTGTGTAATCTTGCCCTGTGTTGGAGAGGCCTCAGAGTGAATTTGGTATCACAACTAAGCATTATTGAAATTTGAAAAGACATATAAATATAAAGTATTACCGATAATATATTCATTGAGGTATCAGGTCGGTGACAAATTCCCAAGGTTCAAAAGCTTGTCATTTTCCTGATTGCCTAGTAAATCTGAGGTTTGGTTCCATGAGTTATAGGAAAAAACAGGCTCCATGTTAACATCTCTAAGCTTTTCTAAAGTCCTTGCATGTCATTTTCTAGTAATCTTTGTTCCCAACCAAACTTCAGTAACAAGGGAAAACAAGTTTCTGGGTTTTTTTTTTTTTTCCTTTAACATAGATTTTGGGTTCTTTCTTACTGTATTTTGAAGATTTTTGGAAAAAGGAGGTGGTTCTCTTACTTTATATATGGGCACACAAAGGAATTACAGATGGGAAGGAGAATGTAAATGACTATCAGGAAAAAGTCTCATGCATTTAAGATTTTTTACAAGTCAAAATATACATCCTCCCATTGCCCCCCCCCATTCCTTAATTGTAGAAGAACCATTTTTATTTTATCAGTCTCCTTCACATCTCACTGGATTGGTTAAGGAATAAACATACCTTTCTTGTTAAGGAGCAGTATATATCTAATAGCCATCAGTTTAATCGACTGCATTAATAAGAAATATAGCAGCAGCTTGGGCTGAATCACCCATTGTATTCTTCATTTATGAGGATTTAAATGTGTAAAATGACAAGTACATGAAATTAGGAGGAAAATAAAGCAATCTGCAGACTTTGGCACTAGCACACGTAATGCTTTGTTTGAGTTGTTAGTGTGGTTTGACAATCACTAAATAGGAATTAAAAAAATTACAGATCTGCAGAAAACAAACAACCATAGGTGTTGGTTCTCAGTTTAATCCTTCCCATCTCCCATCCCCACCCACCCCATATAGTTTCAATTATAATAAAAATAGAGATCTTAACATCAGAATTTTGCTGTTAAACTCTTCAAGGTTTCTCTGCATCATCCAAGCCACACATAAGGTTTGAAGCACCAAATCCACAAGTTTCTCCAACCAAGTTTAAATAAACAGAAAGTGAAGACTGAAAGATGCCAAAGTAACTCTTCTTAAATGAAGCTGAAACACAAAGTTCTCCCCAAAACAAAGGGTATCAGGCTTCTAGTTCAAGTACTGCCAGGCTGTATGTAGATCTGTCTCAGACAGGATTCAACTACAAGTACCACCGGTTCTAGAGGGAGGGCATGATCCATGATACCAAAGCAGGGCAAAGATCCCCCTTCCATCATTGATTTTTAAAGTTACAACCCTCCCTTATGATTGGCTGCTGCAGGGTCAGTGCTGGACCTGGGGTGTGAGGGGAGGAAGTGAGCTTCCTCCTCCGCAGGGAAGCTCTACCTTTAGTTTGAACAGTTCTCCTCTCAGAGCTCGCTCACTTGCTCGCTCTCTCTCTCTCTCTCTCTCAGGGCTGTCCTGGCTTCTCAGGATCCATTGCCCTTGCCCAGAAGACAGAGCCTCAATCTGACCCAGTAACAGTGAAAGAAGAGTGGACCTACCTGTGGAACCAGACACAACATGGTCCCCAAGGGCCGCTTAGGCTACCCCACTGCAACTGACAAGTCAACCTGTGCACTTAAAGCGTATCAGTTTATGGAACGCTTGTTTGAAGTCCTCATTGGACATGGTATAGATGATGGGGTTGATAAGGGAGTTGAGATAGCCCAGCCACGTGAAGAAGTCAAAGATGGCCAGGTGGAACCAGCAGGCATCCTTGCAAATAGGCATCACCAGGGAGATGATGAAGAAGGGCAGCCAACACACAATAAAGGCTCCCAAAATGATCCCCAGGGTCTTAGTGGCTTTGCGCTCCCTAGCGGCCATGAGCTTCTTCTTCTCTAGCAGGGCGTCAGAGACTCGCACTTTGACTTGGTTCACGTACACAGGGGACCCGGATTCGCTGGGCACATCAGGAGCCCGGGAGTTAACGGAGGTGACCGAGGACGTGGACCCGGGGGAGTCGGTTATCAGCTGGGCTCGGGTCAGGCGCTTGCCGGTCCTGTTGGGCGTCTGTTTCAAAATCCGGGAGCGGGCTTCCACATAGATGCGGCCGTAGAGGGCGATGAGGAGCAGGGTGGGGAAGTAGAAAGCGCCCACCGTGGAGTAAACTGTGTAGAGCATGTGGTCGGTGTTCACCCTGCAGTCCGACACCTCCTCCTCGGCTTTGGCTTGACGCCAGAAGAAGGGCGGCAGCGAGATGGAGATGGAGAAGACCCACACCAGCGCGATCATGACCGCGGCCCTCTTGGGAGTCCTTTTAGCGGAGTACTCCACAGCGTCCGTGATGGCCCAGTAGCGGTCCAGGGCGATGACACAGAGGTGCAGGATGGAAGCTGTGCAACAGGTGATGTCCGACGACAGCCAGAAGTCGCAGACCACCTGGCCCAGCGTCCAGCGGCCGGTGACCGTGTACATGGTGCTGATGGGCATCACCAGGATGGATACGAGCAGGTCGGTTACCGCCAGGGAGGCGATCAGGTAGTTGGCTGGGGTGTGCAGCTTCCGGGTCCGGTACACAGTGGCAATCACAAAAGCATTGGAGAGCGTGGTGGCCAAGGTAAAGAGCGCCAGCACCAGGATCAGGAGTACTTTCCAGGGCAGGGCGATGGAGTCCTGGTAAATATAGCCCTCGGTGCTGCAATTGGGGGGAGCGGAGGAGAGGTTGGCTTGAGAAACCCCGGTCTGGGAGCCCGCGGGCGGCGGTGGGGCGCAATGAGTGTTGGTTTCTTCCATGTCTCTCCTCTACACGGCTCTGGAGCGCAGCTCTTGGGCATGGAGCGAACGAGGGAAAGGGCGGAAGGACCGCGGAGGAGACCACAGTCTTGTCTCTCGATTGCTAGTCAGTGCCGTGGGATTCTCAATTATTCCTCCACCCAGATTCCCAGCTGAAACTAGAGGTCAAGGGCGCGGCAGCCTAGGCAGACGAGCGCGTCTTCTGCACTTCCAGTGCGCCGGGCGCTGCCGCCGCGGCTCTGCCTGCTCCTCTCCACTCCCCGTCTTAGCCCTGGGTTGCTAAGGACTGGCCCACCAAGCCCAGCTCCACTCCGGATCCTACTCAAGGCGTCTAGTAGCGGAGGGTGATGTATTGTTTGAGAAGGGAGCATCAGCCAGGTGGGGTCTCTTACCCCAGTTGCTCCGGGCTGAGTCTCCTAACCCAGGCGCTCCTTGATCTGCAGAATCGGCCCGCAAGAGTTTCCTGGCTGTTGAGACTGAAGCTGGCAGGCCAGCCAGGAGTCCTGGTCTTGCATTCCCGCCCCCTCCCCAGACTCGGGCAGTTTCCTGCGGCTGCTTTGGCCGCCAGAGCTGGGTGGGGTGAAGTCTGGGAGCCGCGCTGCGCCGCGCCTCGCTCCGGAGCTCTGCCCTCCCTTCTTTTCACGCGCTGGCCACTCCGGCGAGCTGCCCCGCGGAGACGGGGCCGCAAGAAGGGGGACTCGGGGGCTGGGGCTGTGGCTGCGGCTGCCCGCAACGCGCCGCCACTGCCACCATCACCTCGGACCCACTGGCACCGCTTGGAGCCATGCTGCTGGGTGCACGGGTCTGGGGGACCTGGCGCGGCACGCGGGTAAGGGGCAGGTGTCTTAGGGAGCTGGAGGAACGCAGCGTGCGCCAGTCCCGGAGGAGCGTGTGAGCGGCACAGCAGATGGACTCCTTTTATAGAGTCCAGGTCCGGGCTGCCCTAGCCTTGCAACTCTTGCTGCTCGGCGAGTGCGGGCGCCCGCTCCCCATCACCTTCCCCTTTTCTCTCTCCCCCGCCCCTCCTTTCCTCCTGCCTGGTTCCCTCCCCGGGTAAGGAAGCTTCCCTCCGGGTCCTACCGCCCTCTCTCCCCACTACCCATCTTCTGGCCCCTCTCCCAATCCTGACACCCAGACTCCGCAGTTCTGGCCAGGAATGGGGATGAGGGCGTCCTGTCCTTGCCTCTGTCCCCTTCGAAGCTTGCAGTGCGGCCCTCCAGTTAGATCCACGCCCTCAGCCCGGGCACATTCCCTGCGTCCCTTCCTGGGCTTCCACTTAAGCACCCACACCACAGCAGGCCAGTGCTAGGTGGAGCCAGCCCCAGGCTCTGACCTCTCCACTCAGGAATTTTATCCAGCCCTGCGGACCACACCCAGGTTAGAAGGAGGCGCCAGTAATATCGCCTTAGAAGGAAATGGCCAATAGTGCATTTTAAACTTCAGGCTTCAAGTCCTACTTAACTCTTGGTACAATACGCACTATTAATTTCATATCTGGTTTTAGGAATCTGTGCTTTCCATTCAGTCCCTTCCCTTTAACTGTGGGTCAACAAGCGGAAAGAAAGCTGTCTACACTGTCTACAAACATGTAAAACTATCACAAACAGAAGCCTACCATTTGTGAAAATAAACCTTCCATTCCTCTCTCCCTCTCCAGCCAGCCTCTCAGCAGTTCAATGCCTCTGGAAAACAGTTCACAGTAAGCACCTTCCCTCCCACAGCCCTCGAGAAAGGAGGTCAACAAAATTCAAAAGGAAAAAAAAAAAAGAAAGAAAGAAAGAAAAAGGAAAAAAAAAACGTGTTTTGGGGCCATCAGCACCAGTGTGTCTTCTTTGCCCTCAACAAATACATCAGGGTATCAGCCAAATGTGGCACCAAGCAATACCAGTTCCCAGGTCCCATGACCTTCAGCAGTTCCTGGCTGCTCAGTTCCCCCCTCCAGCTGTAACTGAAACAAATGTATGGTACAACTACCAGTCTGTGAAAGTTTACAGAAAAGCACCAGGAAAGAGCAATGTACTTTCAGCCCTCAGAGCTAAGTGATCCCAACTAGGAGTTTCTAGCACCTAGCTCGGTGTTTAGTGGGTATAATGCATTCAATGAACACAACATCATAAGTGAATTTACCAGGTTAAGTGTAAGCATATTTTAGAGAGAATTATTCAGTCTAGAGCCCAAGATTATTTCATCCACCATTGGGTTTAGAAGAAGAATTAAGAGTCTTTGAAAGAAGAACTTTTTACCCAAGGTGACACAACACTGACCCAAGTTCTCTTAACTTCATATTCCCTAAAACAGGCAAAAATAGAGTGCTTACCCTGTGCTAGGAATTCTAGGCACCAGGGGTATGATGGGGTATACCCAGACCCAGTTTTCAAATAGCCTATATTCTAGAAAAGGCAGATAGACAATAGCCACACAAACAAGCAAATGATTAACATACTTTCATATTGCGGTAAGTATTATAAAGAAAATAGTACATTCCTGCATTGAGAGTGAGGGTACTCCTTTAGAAAGCAGCTCTCCAAAAATACCCTCTGGAAGCTGTCTGGGTTGCAGGAGCCAAGGTGGAGATAAAAGAAAACCTTCTCTTTCCTCTTCTCCTGTCCCTAGCACCCAGCATTGCTTCTGCTAACCTTAAGCCTCATTTGCACAGCACGTTAAGGGGTCCTACCCGTCCTCCCATCCTACCCACCCACATCAGGCGCCTAAATAGACTTCTTTTTTTTTCCCCCCCAAACTGCAGCACTCTCTTAGAAATCACAGCTGAGGAAAGCAAAGCAGGCAAGCCTAAACCACTAGGTGGGGGCGTTGGCCAGGATGGAGCAAAGTGTGTGTGGTTGCCGTTTGGGGGGTGTGCCGGCAAACTATTTTCCTGCTATCTTAAGGGAGCAGCAAGATTAGGAGAACTGTTGGAAGGATGCGAAGCGGAGGAAGGCGGAGAGGAATTTTACCAAGCTGCAGGCAGCCTTTCCTGTTTAAATTTCTTCTCCAGGAGCGTGCAAAGGAGAAAACCACTTGCTCCTTCTAGGGTTTGGATTTAGCGACATAAGGAACCTGTGGCTTTCTCCCAGCCACTCGTTCACTGTTTCGCGGAGTCCAGAACCCTTGGTGGAATCTGCCACCTGTGGGCGGAGTTTGATTTTTCTAGGCTTTGGTTAAGAATTGCGTGGACACACCAAGCCATCATACAGAGGGGAATGAGGCAGAGTTTAGTGGAGAACGCCATTTCGTTATCTTGGTTCCCTCTTTTCACTCACTCCTTTAGCACTTCAAAACATATAAAACACACAGGGGTACGTGTGTGTGGAACACTCAGGAGAGCAGGAAACTTTTAAAGTCCCCTCTGCTTGGGCCTCCCCCATAGAGGAGGGGCCCTTAGGCACAATCCACGTGCCCACTCTGCAGTCCCCAGCAGCACAGGGAGGATGTTCCCTCCAAGTTAGTGGGAAACAACCCACACAGACTCAGCCAGAGGGCAAGGAGGGAACGAGCTGGAACAGATCGAGATGGGGAAGTAGACTGCAGCAAAGGTTATTTGGGTCGAAATAAGCTTTTGTTTGGCCGAGCAGTTGAGACTGCAAGTTAGTGTGCTCCACGCGGTGGACCTCAAGCAGAAGCTGAGGAGGTAGAGGATAACGGAGTGAAGCCTGTGCTCAGACGCAAAGCCTGACCGTGGCGGTGAGCTGTGGAGAGACCAGCGAAAAGTCGCCTCTCAAAGAGACTTTGCCTACGCGAGAAAGGTTTGGCTGATGCAGGGAATTGAGAGGCGCAGGCTTGGAAGTTTGCAGCGCGGCGCTAGCTAGACCTAATGCTGTGAAGAGAAGCTCCTTCCACCTCCACGAAACCACACCTGATACACCCTAGAACTTGCCGCAACTCAGCGCTGTCTTGGCTGGGAGCCAGCCAGCCAGCCAAAGGCGGGCACTTAGGTCGTGCTTGCAGCATCCCCAGAGTCTTCCCTGCATTTTCCAGAAAGTGGCTGTTAAGAGAGATTTGGGCACCGGAGCACAGACAGCAGTTGTAAGTTAATCTTTGCTTTGTTGCAATAAAAAAGCCAGAATGCTCAAGCTCTTGTCGCTTTGCTCCTTTGATAAAGGAAAATGCAATCTCACACTCTCCATCCCCACCACTTGAAAAATCCACAGCCAACCCCTAACCGCAACGTGTGGGGACCTGGCAAGCTCCTTTTTGCAAGTCCCGCTTCCTCAATCTATGGCCACTGTTTTTGTTTTTTGGCTTTAAACTCCCACACAGGAAATAGGCAGCAAGAGACTAGAGCTGTGTACAACGTTCTCATGTGTGGGAGTGGTAGCCTGTTTCTTGGTTCCTCCTGTATTTCCTCCAGTAACTTAAACTATTCCTTAAAAAGTATATTGGTAGTAATGAAAATACAAGCCTTACTTAGGTCTTGTTTCACGGAACCATGGAAACGTTCAGATGAACATATACAAACCTACAGATGTATACATACAGTTTTGCCAGACACCTTCGGGGGGTTACCAAACCCTCTGAGGCTTAGCTCCTCTCCATATTCACTGGGACCACATTGGGCCTTTGACAAGGTATCTGTGTCAGGGTACTAATGTGTTTTGTGCTTCAGAAGGGAATTTAAATGCCAAATAATAAAACCAGGTGCTTTAGTTCCTTAATTCTAGACTGACGTATATCAATCCCAGAGAATTAGTAGCTCTGTTATGTGTTTTTAGGTGGATACAAATACTGTGTATCTATAGTGAAGGAAGAGTGTGGCAAAAAATAGAGCAAGTATACATAATTTAGACACTTTCTAATTCCTGTCTCTGTAATAGCAGCCACTTTGCTACTTGGAACAGACATCCCCAACAGGTAGGTTACTGCTGGTTCAAAGCCAGCCTAGTTCCAGCTAGTAGAAGAGCTAGCTCTCAACTGAAGTCTCAATCACATATTTCCTGGCTGAAGATGTAGGTCTTAGAAGAAAATTTCTAACCTCATGCTTGAAGCAATATAAATGGAGATTG